TGGTGCCAACTTTCACTTCAGGTTTTCTGGCCTTGCTTTTATGTTTGCAAATCAACCTTTTACTAAAATGATCTCAGTGAGGTCAGGGAGTGGCACAGCTGGCCCTACAGGGGTTGTGATCATAAGACCTATGATGTCAGTTATCTCCCCAGATAGCATCTTGATGCCCGGTCTTGTCTTAAGGATTGTTCCGGAAATGCCAGGCGTTGCATGTGAACTCACTGTCACCAGACTCACTGAGAGCCAATCTTAGCATCACCAAAAGATCCAAAAGAATATGACATTACTGACCAATCAAAGGGAGGGATGCAAGCCTTGCAGCCCAGCCGCACCCCAGGACACGAGGTAAACCTGAACTCCTCAACTCCAATTTCAGTGTCTAAGCATCTTTGACCTTAACCACGCGAGCAGCCCAGGAATAAAGCGACAGCTGCCAAGCTCCCTGCTCTGTTCTGCCCAATAAACACCTTTGGCCCACAGCATCCCAATGTCAGCAGTTGGGTGAGTAGCTCGGGTTTTCAGGGGATGAGTGAGAGGGGCGGATCCACAACAAGCCCACGACACACCTAGGTTTTCTTGATATGAAACAGAACCAAGGGCCATGGTGAACAAAGTGGCATGGGGTTCTAGTCAAACACAAGAGACAATGATGTCATCCAGAAGTGCAGTTAACACAAGAGACATGAGGCTGGAGCCCGCTATGCTGCTGAACAGAGCACTTTTAAACATGAGTAGAAGGAATTAGAGGCACCAGCTCTTTGTATCATCATCAAGGCATTACGTACTGAATATAATTGTATACACTATACTTTTTAGAGGTCTCTACGCCAACATCTCATTCACATCCGAGTAAGGCCTTGCACTATGTGTTAGGATGGCTACGTGATCAAACACCAGAAATCCTCACTCCACCAGAATCTCAAGGAATGCCCTTCATTGTATGCAGCCCGTCCTTGAACAAACATCATTGTGTGGCACATGATTATACAGCATGCCGTCGTGCCAGCCTCTCCACCACCGCTTTTCAAAGATATTTCATGACATTATAGAAACTAATGATCTGTCCCTGGTGCAATATACATATTCATTCTTCAAAAATCTAAATTAAACATGCAGCATTAGGGGAAAGAAAATAGAAACAAATTTGATGGAAATGATGGTTGAGGCCAGGATTAGAGGATAAATCAAAAAGCACATGTAGGACACATGGTCCACACTGGCTCGTCACAGCAAATAACTGTTATCTCAAAGCCAAGAAGAGTCTCAGGAGAGCGGAACCACGTGGGAAGGGCCAGAGCCAGGGTTCGACCTCAGGCCAGTGCCTGACACCCAGCTCCTCCAGCAGCATCAGATGGCCACTCCCAGAAGGGCAGGCTGATTCAGGCACTCAGTAAACACCCAGGGGACAGATGTCACTGCACATCTGCTGCTTGTGACACCCGCATTCCACATCAGAGTCCCAGCGACTCCAATTCCAACCCAGCCACCTTCTACTGTGCCTGCAAGGCACCAGGTGGCTCAAGTATTGGGTCCCTTCTATCTCGATGGGAGACATGATGAAGTTCTTGGCTGCTGGTGGCCTGGCTTAGTCCTGGTTGTTGAGGCCATTTGAGGAGTGAACCAGCAGGAGCAATCTCTCACTCTCTGGTCTCTCACTGGCAGTCTTTTTCAAATGAATAAATATATATAGACCTTTGGGGGGGGGCGGGAAACATGAGTGTTCACAGATAGCACATGCTCTTTATGCACTGGAAACATACCGTTGGCTCTGTGACACGAAACCAGCAGGTGTGCGGGATGAGATTAAGAGCTGGCCTGGTCAGCTGATTCACGCAGCCTGGTCGGAAATGATGGCTCTGTTAAGACACTCTGCAGTCACGGGGAGCGTCTAACACAGACCTATCGCACAGGAGCGCCTCCGGCACATCCCCGTGGCCAGGACACCATGTGGCCAGCGCTGCAGGGTGAGGGCAGGGGACGCAACAAAGCCACGAGAGAAGCGATGCATGGCCGTGTTCTGAGGGCATCAGCGACTTTGCTTTTCACTGCGCTGGACGGGGAGAGCCACTAGGGGGCCTAAAGAAAGGACCGAAGGGTCATCGCTCGTGCGTTAAAGCGCGGCTCAGGCTCTGCTGAGAACCGGATGTAGGATGTAACGACAAATATGGGGAACTAAGAGTGACCCCCGCCCTCCGCCCGCCCACACACCCAATCAGCAGGTCTCAGGAAGGTGGCAGGAAGAGGAAGACCAAAGCGGCAGCATTTCATGATGGGTCATATTTCATGACAGCCTGAGTGCTGTGCGACCAGGGCTCTGGCCTGAGCCACTGGAAGGATGGAAAGACAAAGGGCTGGCAAAATGGTACAGTAGGTTAACTTTCTGTTTGTGGTGCTGGCATCCCGCATGGGCGCCGATTCGTGTCCTGGCTGCTCCACTTTCAATCCAGGTTTCTGCTATTGTACCTGGAAAGGCAGTGGAAAACGGTCCAAGTGTGCACCTAAGTGGGAGACCTAGAAGAAGCTCCTGGCTCCTGAATTCAGCATGGCCCAGCCCTGGCTGTTGTGGCCATTTGGGGAAGCGAACTGGTGGATAGAAGATTTCTTTAATTCTTTCTCAGTAATTCCACCTTTCAAACAAGGAGCAGCTTTGGAATGAGGAAGCTAGAAGGGAAGAAATCTTGATTTGGTTGGGACCTGCTACAAGACAGGTGGCATTTGGACATCCATGCAGCAAGGTGGCAAAGGCAGCCGCAGGGACCCCAGCAGGAGATGGACATCTGGGCATCATTTACTTAAGCCGTGATGGCTGTGAGAACGGACATTCAGCTAGTGTAGCTGTTCTCAATAGGGACAGCACTGTTCCTCGGGGAAAGTGGGAAATCTAAGGGTGCATCTCTGGTTGTCACCCTGCTAGGATGTGACACGGACACTTCAAGAGCAGGAGGCCGAGAAATCCACACGTCTCACAATACACAAAGAACTCACACAATTGTCACAGCCACTGCAGGTGTCTCCTAGGGACAACGCCTGCTGTCCTGTCACCTGGGCCTCAAGTCTCCCTATAGTGTGTGTATATGTGACAAGACACTTCTCCTAACCCTAACCCTATCCTCAGGCATAGCCAGACTCAGCCATTGAAAAAAATTCTTTATTTGAAAAACAGAATGAGAAAAAGGGAGAGATGTGGGGGGGCAGGGGGTGTAGGACGGTGGGGGGGAAGAGAAAAGGAAAAAGAATTTTTTCATCCACCGTTTAATCCCCAAATGGCCATGAGAGCCAGGTCTGGGCCAAGGCTCAAGCCAAAAGCCAGGAGCTCCAACCATGTCTCCAATTGGAATCAAGTGCTGCCTCCTAGGCACATGAGCAGGAAGCTGGATTGGAAGCAGAGTACCTGGGACCCAAATCCACATTCTGACATGAGATGTTGGCATTCCTAATGAAGTGCTAACTCACTGTGCCACAGTGCCTGCCTTAAGTCATCTGAGATGGAAATGTACATTATTGAACATTTTCCCTTTTATATTAGCATCGGAAGAGTATATTGACTTTTCCAAAGTATTATGGGACTTGAAAAAGTTAATGGGAAAAGGGAATTGAAAGTAAGTCTATCAGGCCTGGTGTAGTAGCCTAGTGGCCAAAGGAATCCCCTTGCATATGCCAGGATCCCATATCATGTCCTGGTGGCCTCGCTTCCCATCCAGCTTCCTGCTTGTGGCCTGAGAAAGCAGTCAAGGATGGTCCAAAGCCTTGGGACCCTGCACCCGAGTGGGAGACCCAGAAGAGGCTCCAGGCTTTTGGCTTCAGATAGGCACAGCTCCGGCCACTGCGGCCGCTTAGGGAATGAATCATTAGAAGGAAGAACTTCCTCTCTGACTCTCCTCCTTTATGTATATCTGACTTCTCAATAATTTTTTTTTAAATCTAAAAAAAAGTAAGTCTAGGTATAAAATTTTTGAAATCCATGCACATGAAGGTTTTTAAAAAGTTCATGGTGTGCATATCACAGAAATACTGCACACGGTCAAATTCTTCGTTGAGAGTCACACGGTTTCCTGTGTCAGCTCTGCATGGACTGTACCCAGTGCTCACAGCTCTACAGGCCAGCCCTTCACCACATCTTCACAGTGGCCTGGAGCTCAGCCACCGAGCTGGACAACCATGTCTTCCTCGTACAGGCTCCAGAATCACCCTGGAGACCCACAGGTGCCATGAACCACAAACAAGCTGGAGCTCCATGCCTCCTGCACCTCCATTGTAGGCAGCTAGACAGTGAACCAGTATATAGGCTCCGTCTCTCTCTCTTTTTTGCTTCTCAAATAAATACATTTTAAAAAATCTGGTACCCCCCCAAGCTATGCATAGATTTCAAAAAAGATTTTTTTTTGCACCAAAACTAAGCTTACCTTTCAATACAACTGCCCGTGAACTTTTTAAGGTACCCTCATACGCATGCAAGCAGGCGATATTTTTTATGAATCTCCTCTCAGGGTGGCAAAGGAGCTGTCGGATGCAGCATGAAGGAGGCGCTCCAACACAGACAGTGGACGCAGCTAAAAAGATGAGCCCAGGATTGTGCCTGACCCGGCTGCACATCAGAGAATAAGGGATGGGGGGCGGGAGGGGGGGCGAGAAAGCAAGAAGAGATTCCAACAGCTGTCGATGCTGCTGCTGACGGATCAAACGAGAAAGCTCCTGGGTGACTTCACCCACGCCCCCCACCCCCAGGGAGAGGGGTGCTGAGTGTGACACAGCCTAGGGCATCCACGTAACCCAGGACAGAGGTGTTTATTTACTGAGTTCAATATCTCCCATCCCTGAGCCACCTGCGACCACCCTGAGGCCAGCGCCTCAGCTGCTTGAGGCCAACACCTGCTGGGACCCCTGGAATTCTCCTTCCCCGTCTCAAGGGCTCACTCCCTCACTAACTTCCCTCTCCAATCCTCCCAAGCTAGGGCTTTCAGAGGTACCCACAGCCCTGCCCTGGGCAGCTGGGTCTCTACCTTGCTGAGCCGGGACTCAAAAGCCAAGGAGGTTGAAGACTTGGAACTCTTCATGCCAGTTGAGGCTGCCGAGAGGGGACGTGCCCTGTCGGGGCCATGGCTGCCCACTCTGACCACGGAACTCCAGGGCTTGGTTACGCTGCTCCTCGTGTTCATCCTTGTGGAGCTGTCCTTCTGTGGAAAAGCAGAAAGGAAAAAAGCTGTGTCTATGATGTGCAGCTGCCGCGTGACCTCTCAAAAGTCTGACCCCCACGCTCCTCACTCGCCACTGCTCTCGTAGGCAACAGTGGCTGACGGTCTGGCTGTAAGCAACATTCAATGTTTTCAAGATGACGTCTTAGTGGTGGATTGATTTTCCCAACTCTGCAGCAGCTTCTTCTTCCCCCTTTATAATGATTTTTTAAATTATTGTTTTATGATATGGTTCCATAGACTCTACAGAGCAGCTTTGACCAAATTAATGTCGTGTGTGTGTGTGTGTGTGTGTGTGTGTGTGTGTGTGTGTGATAGTGTTGATTATCTGACATTTTGGCAGAAGACGTCTAACACAGCATTGCACCATGTATCAACACACACACACTTCCAAGAGTACCACAAACAGTCCATGAGGACAGGCAACTGGCACAGCAGTTACAACATTCCATACTGCAGTGCCTCAGTTTGATCCCAGCTTCCGGACAAGGTGACACCCTGCGAAGTAGCAGGTGATGGATTTCTGCCACTTGTGTGGGAGACTCATCCGAAGTTCCTGGCTCTTGGCTGCAGCTGAGTCTAGCTAGCCCTGGCCGTTAAGGCTTTGAGGAAGGAACCAGCAGACGGGAGATCTGCATCTATCTGACTTTCTTGGTTTCTTCCTGTCTCACTCTCTCTCAAATAAGTTTTTTTTTTTAAGTTTGTGGAAAAATGAAATAAAAAGCTAAATATATTTTGACACAGAAAAAAATTGTAATCCATGCATACGTTTTTGAAGAATGTATTTCTATGATCTCTTAAAAGATTTCTCATAAATCACACACACAGATTAGCTTGAGTTCAGACTTAAAATGTCCTTAAGCTTTGCAGCTTTGGGGCTGGCAAGCTTTCGGGTAGGCATAAATGAATTACTTGCTCATTAGATCTTACCAAAGCACAAAATGACTTCTTTCTTCTTCTAGATAAAAATGGACACCGTTTAAAAATCAAGGGTAACATGCAGGACACCCACGTCACAATGCACCCTCTTTCAAAGAATATAAGAAATTCATAATTTAGAGGCTGCTATCATGGTGTAGTGGATCGAGTCACAGCCTGAGACGCTGTCATCTTACATGGGGTCCAATTCAAGGCCTGGCTGCTTGCAGCCCCTGCCAACCATGTGAGAGACCAGGATGGAGTTCCTGTCTCCTGGCTTCAGACTGGCCCAGCCCTAGCCGCTATGGCAATTTGAGGAGTGAACTAGCAATGGAAGTTCTCTCTCTCTGTGTAATTTAAATATATATATATATATATATATCTTAAAAAGAAAGCCACTTTAAAAAGCACAGCTGACAACCAAGTCCAGTGGCTACTGTCATGGGGCGCGCTCCATCCCATCCCCCCGCCACCATGGCAGAACTTAAGCCTACGGTGGGATCAGGGTACCTTTTCTCCCTGCTGTGTCCCAGGTAGTTCATCAACCACTGCGAGAAAGGCAGCAGGCAGCTGCCCAGGCTGTCTCACTATCAAGAGAAGACACAAGGTGTCTTCCCAAGGGCCATCCAGGTCCTGTTTCTGTTTAAACAAATGATTTGCACATCCAAACAGCGACCTGGAACCCACCGTGTAGCACTAGGAGAGAATACTCCTTCCAAGACTTCAGAATTTGCTTTTCCATAATATTGACATGATTAACTTAGAGCTGTATTCATCTCAGCTTGGTCCCAGGTATCATGATTTTTTTTTAAAAAATTCTGTATTTCAGAAAAGCAGCTTACTTCTTGTGCATTTTATTGATGTTTAGCTCTGATCATTTTTCTTTTTTCAATCTGTGAATTGTATCGCTGGTTTCCATGGCAATAATGAAAAAATGCCTAGGTTAAGATCTGTGCAGTAACTAATTCATTAGGGATTCTCTCCCCAGATAAAAACCAAACTAGGAATGAGTGGTTCTTGATGCGATTTGCTAATGAATTTTACTTACCACTGACTAGAGAGCCAACAGCAATATGTCAGGCTGACTTCAGACAGATGACTTAAAGTAGTTGTTCCATCAGGGCACCATTTTATGTTATGATCAACATTATTTACAACTGACTTGCAGGGCTTGTGCTATGAAAACACTAAAAGATTTTTGCAAACTATACATTTTTCAAACTTTATCAGGCAGCCCTTGAAATGGAAAGCCTTTTATAGTTTCCCTTCCAAAAAACAAAAACATTGTCCATGTATATTAATTTTGCTGCAAATACAGTGCTTTTTTTTTGTTTTTCAAACTTTGTTTTAAAACTTGGTCAAGTAAATCGTTAATTATACACTCCTGGAGCTGGTACTGATGCATAGCAAGTTAAGCCTCAGCCTGCAGTGCTGGTATTCCATATGGGCACTGGTTCAAGTCCCAGCTTCTCCACTTCTGGTCCAGCTCCCTGCTAATGCACCTGGGAAAGCAATAAAAGATGGTCCAATTGCATGGGCTCCTGCACTTGCGTGGGAGACCCTGATGAAGTTCCTGGCTTCGGATTGGCTTAGCTCTGGCCATTACAGCCATTTGGGACAGTGAACCAGAGGATGGAAGATCTCTTTTTCTGTCTCTCCTTCTCTTTGTAAATCTTACCCCCCTCCCAACAAATATTCTTAGAGAGAATTATACAGTACGACGGTTTTAATGATTTTGTGTCTATTTTGAAACTTACATTTCATGAGTGCAATTGAACATCTTTTCACATTATCACTGTTTACGCCCCTTGCCTGTTTTTCTGCTGAACTCAGGGTTTTTGCTTTTTATTTGTTGAACTCTTTAGTTAGTACAGCATTAAGTCCTTGGTTACACTGTAAGTTCAAAATGTTGTCTCAAAAGAATTTTTAAAATTTTACATAAAGATTTTTTTTTAACGACAATAAAAAACAGCAATAAGAGGATGAGAACCTTCCTTCCCAGACTTTTCCCTGATGTTTCGAGAGTTTAAGTCCTTGGTGGAACTAAAGAGAAAAATTTAGAGGGGGTGTTTCTCTCTCGAAAAATCCTGATGCTGCACAGGAGGTTCTCATTATAATATCTGTAACAAATCTTACTTTGAAAAGATAAGAAAAAGTGGAGCCATCTTAACCAAACTGCTCTCATAACCATTGGCCACAGATCTGGTGATCTTCTGCAAAGTGCGCCTGAAAAATGTTTTCTCTTTTCCGTGAGAAACAAGTGACAGAGCTCCCATCCACTGGTTCATTCCCCAGGTACCAGGGCGGCTGGATGCTCAGAGCCTGGAACTCTCTCTGGGCCTTCCTCATGGGCAGCAGGGACCCAGCGCCCTGAGTCCTCACTGCTCCCTCTCAGAGTGTGCAGTGGCAGGAAGCAAGGATAGGATAGGAGCTCAAGCGATTATCAGATGCAGGCACTCTGGTGTGGGACACAAATGGCTTAGCCATATGCCCGACACTTGCCCTCAACCATTTTTCAAAGACTTGCTGGCTCAGAGGCAAATCTCCATGGGTTCCTGTGGTCAACTCTCTTCTCTTTTTCTACTGTCCTCCTTCCCTCCCACCCCTTGCTTCCAAACCTAATCAGATGACTCCCACATGAAATGCTCTGTCTGAACTCTTCTTACCAAGACCCACTGCCTCTTCTAAGTGCATTCCTCAGGGGAGCATGTACTGGGATGTTGGCTCCAGTGTGATGGTGGTTAAGAAGTGGAGGAACTTTTAAGATGGGAGCCAGGTGGTTAGGTCATCTGGGGGGGCATGATCGTCAGCAGAGATTCCCACGGTTCCCACTAGGCTTGGCTAGTTCCTATGAGGGTGAGACAGCACAGGAAGGGCCAGCCTGGTACGCAAATCCCTCCTTCATCTTGTCTCACCAGTGACTGCTCTCTCATATCTGCTCCCACCACGAGGTCCTCTGCTGTGTTGTGACATAGCTAGAGGCTCTCACAAGACCCTGGATCTTCCACCCCCAAAACAGTGCTAAGAAAACTTTTTTTTCCTTTGTGTATTCCTCTGCCTCAGGTCTTTTAGAAGAATATAAAAGAACATCCTTCACCCTTCTTGGCCACTTTGTGTTCATCCAGTCCCATCTTCTTTCAAGATTCAGAGTATACAAGCATGAAGCCACAGATGCCTAACTCACTGCAACCAGGAAAGGAAGCAGACGGGAGAAGCAAGAGTGACCAGGACAGGATGCTGCACTCCACAGACAAGGACCTGGGGACTGGCGTGTGAGGTTACAGAGCTCTCCCTGCCCACATGGCTCCCGCTAAACATCAACTTAGTCTGCTCCAAGTCTGGAACACAGTCCTCTTGGTGTTTTTTGGCGATCGCTCTCTCATTCTCGCTTGGCCCAGCCCCTGTCCTGGTTCTTCTGGAACGAACCCAGAGAAGTGCAACCTTGAGACCCTCACTGTGGTCTACGGCCATACCACCCTGAACTTTCCCAATCTCGTCTGATCTCGGAATCTAAGCAGGGTCGGGCCTGGTTAGTACTTGGGTGGGAGACCCTCACAGGATAGGAAACGGGCACATTCCATGCAGCCTACCTCTTCCCACATCCGCTGTCCTCCCCTCATTTCCCACCCGCTGGGCCTGGCTCTCCATAAGTGCTGTCATGATCTCAGGGAAGCTACACCATCCCTCTCTGAGAAAGTAAGGCCCTGCTGCATTCACTACACGGATGGTTCACTGTGTAATCACTGCAACCACCTCCTGTAATCTGAATATTTGTGCCCCTCTCTGAAATTCATACGTTGAAACCTAATCCCTCCAGGTAATGGTATTAGGAGATGAGGCCTTGGGGCGATGAAATGAGAAGATGTTGGCAGAACTCTCAGCGATGAGATTAATGTCCTTGCCCGCCTCCTCCACCAGATGAGGTCACAGCAGGATGAAGCTACCTATGAACTAGAGAAGTCAGAATCCTCTCCAGACTGACTCAAGACCTTAATCTGTGACTCTGTAACCTGCGGAAGTGTGAACAATGCATTTCTGTTATCTGCAAGCCAGCCCCTTCGTGA